ACACGGACAAATAACTTTACTGCTTATTGTTAATGGCAGCGCACGGCGGACGCCATTCCTCCTAAATAACGGTAAAGTGCAGGCCGGCTTACGCCTCTAAAGCAATGCAACGAGCGCGCCTCACCGAATCTCTCACTTGCTTCTCACATTCACGTAATGGAAAAATTTCAATTATAACAAAAATATATTGCCATGTTAAAAAAATCATTTTCTGGACAGAGGGTAGAAGACGTGTATTATTATTGGATTCTAAAGTGCCAGCCCCTGACCTATGCAGCAACCAGCTCGCAGAAAACAAGGCCACACACTAGAGGGCAACGACCGCCACGCTGGGCCACCCCCAGTGTGCAGCGAGGCCCGCCCATTCGAGAGGCGGCCGGCCAAACACCAAGAGAGCGCAGACATTAGACCAGAGAAGAAGAACAGACTACGTGATATAAACAAACAACAAATAGCGTGTGCGTTAGCTTCACCTTAGCATGTGTTCTTTGCAGGTGTTTGTTGAGGTTTGACATGGTGTTTACAGCAGTGGATAACAGCTTCTGGCCTGGACACAGTTTGCACCTCACCGTCACATTCCTGTCTATTATTCGGACAAACTCAAAATAATGGGCATACCTCCACCCCTCGAAAGTTATCGCTGACTCAGCCATGTTTATGCAGCACTGCACGTGGAGATGTGGACGCGCAAGTCGCGCAGATTACGTACATATAAACCTGCGGCGGAAACCCCTCTTGCCTCTCTCTTGTGTGATTATGACTGATTTTAACGCTTGTCGGGGCAATGTTAGTAACTGTAGTGTGATTACTGAATTATAAAAGTAACGCATTACACTACTCCATTACTGACAAAAGTAATATTATTACAGTAACGCATTACTTTGTAACGCATTACACCCAACTCTGTTTATAGGCTATTAGCTTAAAACTCGTCTTGAGCCCAAGTAGCCACCCCCTAGCGCCGCCACTGGACTGCACTTATAGTTCTTCTCTAGTGGACATAGTGCTTTCCTATTGACTTCTCATTTATCATTCACACACACAAGTTGTTTGCTGATATAAACTCTGAATTATGTCTAGAGTTAAGTCCAGACTTTGCTCAGTGTGCAGGAGGACGGACATGACCCGGATTAAACGGTGATCACAAAACTGGTTTGTAATCTGCTCATGAACAGTCTCTTGCTTTTTCTCCAAACGTATCTGATTTTAGAGTACGCCCTTACCAACAGAAGTTTCCTGTAGTCTATACAGTTTTCATTGGCATCTTTGTGTAAATGACCCTCTTCACCCTCGGATGTTGGCTTCCTTCATGTTTCGCGACACAAATGTCATGCCCACTTGCTATCTGTGAACTTTCCGGACCATGAACGGCTCTATTCACATATGGGCTCAATCAGACATTTCATGCACTTTGTACTCCGGAGCTGGCAGGGTAAGATCCGTTTGATATCCGGTTCCAGAAATTCGGATATTTGTGTTCTCACATACAGCTCCTATGGGGAACGTCTAGATAATTTCAGGGTTGCAGTGTATATGTGAAAGGGCCAACAGACACTCACACATCAATGGCACTGCTCTGCCAACTGGGATGTATTTGGGATTCATTGTCCTGCTCAAGGACGATCCGCCATGTGGACAGGAGGAGGCTGGAACCAAACTGCCAACCCTGGGATAAGTAGATGACCCGCTTTCCTCACAGTTTTCAGATGTTTTCTGCAAACTTTATTCAATCAAACTGCTGCAAGACACTCCGGGAGCCCCAGGCAGAAGAGACATGCCCCCCAACACATCCAGCACATCCAGCTCAACCGTCACCCCCCCTCCCCCCCAGCAGAGATTACGAAACTGATATTATGAAGCAGCTTTTGATGGCGCGGTATGCATGGGGCCACCTTCTGGGGGTTTCCCGACTTGTCATTGCAGTAAATCAAAGGGGGTTTCATGTTGTCGTTGCTGTGGACCAATTTAATCGACCTTCTTTGGGGGGCCCCTTCTGGTCCGGGGCCCCAAGCAGTTGCCTGCCTTGCCTGCCGGCAAACGGCGCCCCTGAGTTGATCGAAAAGCGTAA